TAACACTGTATTGAGTGGTTTGTGATAGTGTTCGTGTGCTGCTTCTTCCAAGAAGGTTATACGATTAATTACGACAAATTTGGATTAACCTGCAGATGTTAGGTAAGTGGAAATTTAACTTTGTCATTTATTGCCATAGTTAACCGCGTAAGAACATGTTTTCACTGGTATGACATCGCTTGGTTTTTTTCAATATTTTTGGATACCTGTGTCCAAATGTTTCTTCGCCATATTGCCGAGAATAAATAGTTTGTTTTCCTTAAAGTTTATTTACACGGTTTAAAAAGTAAGTTTAATTTAGACCCAATTTAGGCACCCTTTGGTCAAAGGTGTACAGACAGACGACCCCTACAGTATTATACGTAGGCCCACGTAGATTATGCATACAGAAGTAGCGTTAATGTGAGTCGTCAGAATCTTGAAGTGGTGCATGGAAACAGATCTGCGAAAAATTACGCAACTTTTGCCACCGCAATTCTTTTGTAAAATGTAAGACAACATGGAGCGGGCGAAAAGGAATGTTTATGTAGCAACAAATCGACATCAGTAACTAAAAACGAGACAATGGAAAAAGTCAAAAACATGCACTTTTCTTGGTTCCGTATTTCTTCGCCACTTTAATTTTGACATGAACCAGCCGAGTGTCACCAAATCGTGTTCAGCTCTAAACGAGTCTGCACAGGTTGGGCTAGAAACAAGAAACTAATAACTCCATTCCATCATTGCTAATCGTCAACCTGTTGATTCTGTCTGGTTAGCTGCTATATCGCATACTGGTTGGCGCTGATGCATACTACACGGGCTCCTGGATCGTCGAGAGACCTGAGCTCGGCTGTACTCGCAGAGCTTCCCTACGTAAATGCTGGGGTAACACCACGTCATCACACTTCGTGATGAGTGTGTTCAAATTTAAAGTTATACAACCTAAGCCAGAGGTTCCCAAACTTCTATACTTTGCGCCCCCTTAAAACATTTCATAAATTTCACGCCCCCCTTCCAGAACAATTGCAAGCAAACACATTTGACATAAAATTTAGCTATGAGTATGTAGCACTGTAAGACAACTAAACTGCCTCAACCAAGCAAAGGATGTTAAAAATGTTTCTCCATATTTCGTTAAAAAAGGTTTTTCATACAAACAACACGCTCCCCCAGAAAACCACTCGCCCCCACCCCCACCCCGGGGCGCGCTCCGCACACTTTGGGAACCTCTGACCTAAGCAGTTGAAAAAGTGTCGTAACTCAAATACAAGACTGAACCAGACACAGATATCTTAAGTTTTGTCTTACGATAAGCGGCGACTGGAATTATTCCATCTTCATATCACTGAACGACAAGTCGCGTGATTAACAGACACTCCTACGTATCCTTGGGTTCAAATTTCGGCCTGGAGGTCGACTGTAAAGACTAAGTTGTTTGTGGTTTTCCTTAATCCTCCAGGAAAATGCCAGGATAACACCTTATAATTAGGCCACAACCACTTCCTACGATTTCTTTATAGCTCTTTATTTATTAGTCGTCCCATAAGAACTATTAGATACTAATAAGAATTTGGTTTAAAAGTAAAGGCAGAGAAAACGAAGTACGTGTTCGTGTCTCATCGCCAGACTACAGCTGACAAATCTTTTTAAAGTGTGAAAAAGTTCGAAGTCTTTGTCTTCCCGTCTACTGACAACAAAAGTAAAGAGACACAACTATAATTTTACCCATTATTTTGTATTGGTGCGAAACCTTGTTTCTCATGTTATTAGACCACAGACTGAGAGTGTCTGGGAACAGGGTGCTTAGGGCAATATTTGGACATAGAAGGGATGAAGTTACGGGCGGCTGGGGAAAACTGCGTAATGAGGAGCTCCGTAGTTGGTGATCTTAACTAATTTGTTTTAGGGTGATGGAATCAATGAGGTTGGGTTGGGTTGGGTATGTAGCACGCATGCATTGAGGGAGACAAGAGATGAGTGCATTATTTTTGTTGATAAGCCCGATGGGATGAGACCCCTCGAAAGATGTAGATGCAGGTGGGAGGATCATATTAAAATTAATCTCTGAGAACTAGGGTTTGGGAGTGCGGATTGGATTTGTCTGGCTCAGCATAAGGACCTATGTGAACAGAATTATTATCTCTCAGATTCTGTAAAAGGCAGGGAATTTCTTGACTGGCTGAGAGTACTGTGCGTTAGCTTCTCAAGAGCTGTAAAGTAAAGTTTGTCCCACTATACGCCATGTAGGCGTTTGGGGTGAGTGGAGGTATAGCTCCTCTCTTCCTTGACCTCGGCACTAGATGGGGGTGAGTGGTCAGCATCACGCCCCGGCCGGCTTTACCCCCGGGAAAGGACCCCGATACCCATTGTAGAGGAGGCTGGGTGGGCCCCAGAGCCGGTCTGGACGCAGAGGCTAGAGGAAAAATCCTCTGCCCCCGTCGGGGATCGAACCCCGGTCGTCCAGCCCGTAGCTAGTCACTATACTGACTGAGCTATCCCGGCTCATTCTCAAGAGCTGTGCTTCATGGAGTTAGCTTGACATTAAGATTCTGAACTGTAGTTCTGATTCCATCATGAACACTTCGTGTGCTGACATAACTCATGCATAACCACTGGATTTTGGTTCCACGCAGGTTCATTTTCTTTATGCTGGCCAGCACCGTGTCTTTTGTCCATTGGGTAACAGATGCTTTTTCAGAAGATGGCTGTCTGCTGGGTTGTTGCGACGTGGAGTAATGTTTGAGAAAGCGTAATTACTTATCGCCCTGATGATGGATGCAGCAAGGACCTCTGAAACTATACGGCGCAACAACCGAGACTCACCGACGTGAAAACCTCAAATCTTACAGATGGTTTTCCCCGGGAGTAAAGCTGTCAGAGCGTAAAACTAACCGCTCACGTTCACCTACTGCCGAAATTAAGAATGAATGGAGCTAACCCTCCACTGTCCCTATACATCTTGATGGCATTGTGCTCATTATTGTTTTTCCCGTTTGTGACATCTCTTTCCACATCCCCGCCAATAGCAATTTCTAACCCCTTTAAAGATATTTACAGTCAACATTCTTAGTGTGTTTGGTTCGATTTCCGTTATCATAATCTCATTTAAGAGCATAGCCCTTGTTCCAGTGTAGCGGAAATCCCCGTAGACCCTGCGTGGAGGGGGTGCCGAGGACCTACGGGGGTTCTCAGGTGTCAGGGTAAATGTATAGTGGTCCGAATGGTTACCCATGGCGGGAGAGGGCACAATGATTCCGCTACACCGCCGCCTCGTTTGAATAGAGCATGTCCTACGCACGTGACATTGAGGTTTTGTCCCCCCCCCCAAAAAAAAAAAAAAATTCTTAATCCTTACTTCCCTAACGTTATGGATTCTCAGAAGACCTAGGGAGAGGAACTACCTGGCAAGCTAACCAATGCAATTTTTCTGTATCGATTTGAAACATTCAGATTTCAAATTCAGTGCAATTTCAAATCTTCGTGAGTGAACATGTCTTTTTAAAACTTTGGACAAACACTAGGAATTTTTTAAAAAAAATATATATCTATGCGCGTATGTGTGATAAAAGTAGTGAGTAGCCACAAAAGCAACATATACTCGTAGCTGCAATAACGGATATAAAGAGTCGGTCGGTCCCTTGGATCTCGTTATAACCGAGTGTGTGTGTGTGTGTCTATATACAAAGTGAACAAATGACAGGTTATTCTCGCCAATCTTTCACTGTATTACTTCTGTGAATGGGGTTTGAAGTTTAAGATTACAGAACACCGATACATGGCCTAAAATTAGGGCTCGTTTGTGTGTAACTCTTTGAAACATATTTTAGTATAACGAATATTTAATAACTGCAACAAAAACAATTTCTACTGTGGTAATTGTGGTATTAGAGCGAATAGTCTTGCAATAATTGACTTGTATATGCAGTAAATTGACATCAAAGTCAATGAATCGTATAAAATCCCAAAGAAAACCTTTAGAAGTCCAGTATAATCCAAACTGGAGAACCTTACCGGACTGATGGAGGTTTAATGCAATTGCTGATCCTAATGAGAACAGGAGGTGTGACAATTAACTTCCCGGATTGGCACCGTAAAAGCTGTATTTAATAGCTCACACATTAATGGTTATTGACACCTTCGAAGTAATCTCCTTGCCCACCAATACACTTCGTGAGTCGGTGTTACCACTGCTCAAAACATTTCTGGAACTTCTCTTCAGGATGGTTGTTGCATGTCCCTGAATGTCGGCAATGGATGAAAATCTGTGATCCTTCAAAGCGGTCTGCAGTTTTGGGAATAGCCAAAAGTCGCACGGGAAAAGTCTGGCAAATATGGCGTATGTTCCAGTTTCAGGAAAGATGTTTGGTCAGAAACTCCCGGACAGCGAGGGTCATTGTCGTGATGCAAGTTCGAAGGGGTAGGCATGAGGCCAAAGTTCGTGTCTTCTCCGACGAGAGCCTCGCAGTGTTTCCAAACAATCGCGATTTTGTCGAACTTTACACAAAACGTAACGGATCACTCATATTTCCGTCGGGACGAAAACACACGCTTGTTTAACTGCCACTGCTTCCCTACTTACGCCTTAGTTGCCTGACCAAGACACTGTGAAATCTCCCCGATACTTTCACCCTTGTTCCAGTGCGTACAACAGCATGCGGTTAGTAAAACAGAACTTTAAGTGAACAATTTGATATTTCAGTTGTTGTGGCTTTATTTGTATGATGCCATGAATACTTATCCCAACAGTAGAACCAACATTTTTGCTGTGATTTTACATGCTGAAGTAGGAAATGTGATCAGTTATTACTACTATATCTTCTCTTCTTTTCAGCCAATACTAACTTTGATTTCCCTACCTTAACAATATCATATGAGCTTTATTATTGGCAGAGTTCTTATGTAATATCCTATGTTGCCCACATACTTCATTCCTCTTAGATCCCAATATTTTCCTCAACACATTTGTTCTTCAAATATCTAGCTATTTGTGACTAATCTGACATGTTTTGTTGTTGCAGCTCAAAGAATGAGGAGGTAGACAACAGTTGTGTTGTTCGTGCAAGAGGTCTTCCGTGGCAATCCTCAGATCAAGATATTGCCAAGTTTTTTCGTGGCCTGAATGTTGCAAAGTAAGTACATCTTTTGCTGAGTGTACTTCTTGTCCACAGAGAGTCTTCCCTAGGGCTCATTAATCACGTACCTGTTTGTTCCTTGCTTCCTGTAATAGGGACTACAGAGTGACACTACTGTTAAAACTGAGCAAATATTTTTGGTTATAATAAAGGTTTTCATAATTTCATGGTGTCGTGTAGTTACAGCATTTTTCTAGTGAAGACCCAGTGGCCATGGAACATAATGCAGAAATCAATATGAATAGAAAGATATACTGGTACTCCAGTAAAACTAATTTTTTGTATATAAGCTATTTTTGAGAATTAAGATGGCTGTCTTCTAGGTCAGTGGTATTCAAACTGGGGTACGCGTACCCCCGGGGGTACGCAAAGACATCTTAGGGGGTACGTGAAATTTAAAAATATATTTATATTATTTTATGATAAACACTGAATAATCAGTAATG